AAGTCGTTTCAAGCTTAAATATGCAGTTGAAGGCAGTTCTACTGCATAGAGTTAAGGTTGTTCTTTTCGTGCGATTTTTCAACATACATAATATTTTGAATATACAATATATATAGAATTTTTATAAACATTTCCCATTATGAATTTATTAACCCAAAACACTTATATGCGACAATACTCAAATCGGCTATAAAATCGGAGAAATCTAATAGTTACGATCCTTTCGCCTTAACCTTTAACTATGGAGGTGAATTTTTTGGACATAGTCAGATCTGGTGGTAAATTTTACCTCCTCGAATTTTAGTTAGAAATTTGATCACAAATTAGCCATTTTATAATTAGTTTTTCTTTTAAACTAAGCTACTAGATTTTCAAGTTAAAATAAATACAAAATTTTCTTTTTTTCTTTTTAAATCAACAAAAGTCCCACTTTATTTCACAAGGCTTTTATTATTCACAAGAACGAAAATATCACATTAGTAAACTTATAAAAAAGTGTAAAATAAAAATTAATCTAAAGCTTAAGGGGCATCTTTTTATAGCAAAAAATATATATATAAAAAGAAATACAAGAGATCATATTAAAAAAAAAATGTAATCGTAAAAAATACAGGTCAACCTTCCTTGAAAGAAAAAGTTGCATAAACGTTGAGGAGTGGTAATTTTTACACCAGCATCAGCATTTCTCCGCCCACGCTACACCTTCCACAGAAAAAAACATACATAACTGATCAATAACGACAACGAAATGAGAAGATACTGAGAGAATCAAGTTGCTGGAGCGCAACATAGGAGAGTAATTCAAAAAAAATTTAAAGAGGGGGTAAATTTTACCACCACCTCCACAGTTAAAGGTTGAAAAAAAAATAAAAAATAAAAAACCAAATAATATCCACTTGGCCCCAGTGAAATAGTATGTATGCCTCGGTTTCCGAAGACATTTTTTATTTCTAACTTCAAAATACCTTAAATTTGACACATCTCCACAGGTTGGAACGAAAAGAGGCAGTGCAAGTTTTCGAGATATAAGCAAAAGTCATGTTTTCTAGAACCTTTCGGTCCTGTTGCTAGAAATCTACAGGAATCATAAACATTTCGGCCAAAAAACTCTATATGCGCCGCGGCACCTAACGGAAGCTGTTTTTCATGGCAGAAATACACTCGGAGGTTTGCCATTGCCTGCCGAGGGCCGACTGCTGTTAAGAAAAAACCTTTTTTTTCTATATTTTTGCGATGTTGCTTTGACCAGGGTTTGAACCCTGGTGCTGAGGAGTAGAAGCACGCACTGCTTACCGCTACACCACAGCGGCCGACGAATTAAAATATTTATACATATAACTAATTTATCGTCTAACTATAAACTAAATCGAAACATAAGCTGCATTTTTACGAGATATTTCGACGTCCACCTACCAGCAAATCTTTAAGTGGATAAATACGGATTCTCCAAATACATACATATCTCGATTCCTGCGCCACCTATCGGAAAAACTTTTTTGGAGTTATTCCTTTATGTAGGAAATATACGTACAGTCTAAACATAAACTAAATCAGTACCATAGATCCTGGTTTTAGAAACATGTATATCGACCACGCGCCACCTACCGCATACATTATTTGCGGAATTATTTCTTTTCATGTAAGTAATATTTATTTCAAATATGATTCACATCAGATCGTGAATACGGGGTTTTCACCTATTATTTCGACGCCTAAGTCGCCTAGTGGATTAATCCATCATTAATATCGCATTGTCATCGCGTTGTGAGCTAAGTTAGAAATTTCAAGTATCTAGCTCTTCGGAAGCTGGTTAAAAATAGATTGCAAAATTTGATTTACTTAAGCAACGAAATTTACACGCAATTCACTGTCACTTTATTTAGGAGTTCATTGCTATTCTTGCCATAAGGCTAATATTTGGGTCTCCACTTTACAGAAATTGTGGTGGATAATCACAAGGGAATTTTTCACGCAAACTTTTAAACAAAACACACTTGGTCTGACACGCCAGGTTACTGAATGAATTAATAAAAAGTTGTTCACAAAATGGATATGTAAATGAGTTAACAAATAAATGAGTTTCATTTTAGGCGCGTCGTTGATAGATCTTCTTGGTAATTTTTTTTTTTAATGACTGAGAAAATATTTAAGAAACTCATAATCATAAGAAAATTCAGAACCACCCCAGGCGCTTGTGAAAAAAGGCTGTTTCCTAGTTCTTATACACTTCTTTTCCTTTGTTTTAGTTTATATTTTCTATATTTTCTTATTATATTGCTGTATCCTTACGACGATATTAAAAATTCTCTGCCACACTAGCCAATAACATAACAATACGATCTTTTTTTATCTTTACTTTTTTCCAGTTTTTTGTGTGTGTTGGCCACATGCGACGTTAAATTTTGCGGGCCATATGGGCTGAATGTCTTAGCCAACATTTTTTCGCCAATGAATTTTTGCTAAAATTTAGATAAAAAGAAAGAACTAAAAATAGATTGCACTTTGACATTTAGAGCAACTTTATTGAATTATGCAGTATTTTTATTTTTTTTTAATTTGTGCATTTTTGATAAAAACTAATTCATAATAGATAAAAATAATTCCATTTGTGCAGCTTCTACGCCATCAAACACAAAGTCGGTTTGAAATGCATAGTCACCATGAGGAAAAGGTATCCAGCGAAAATCGATATCAGTGAAATGTAATTTTTCAACAATCAAATCGTGCTAAAAATTAGAAGAAATATACTAATAAAAAATGACAAAATATTAACAATATAAACACTTGGTGTTTACATACATCATACGGGCAAGTGTGATTCATATTCGACGATTTTTCAACGACATTCATTAATGCATTCAATATGAAGTTATTGCGTTTCTTCAAATAACTGCAAGCATCCACTTTCATATCCCGCATAAAAGGCTTATAACCATTCGTTCGCTTTAGGAATTTTACGTTGATCTACGAAAAGTTAATTGTTAATGCGAATTGTGGTAGGGAAAAAATTTTTAAATTTATTGAAAGATTAACTAACATACCATTGCTTTTCTGATTGGCCTCTTCAGCACACACAATTTGAAGGAAACTTCTTTGAAATCTCGCCGAACAGCTTTAATATGGCAGTAATCAATTTGAATTATGCTCGTGTTGCGACTTTGACAACGGATATTGTTTAAGCGAATAGTGGGCGTGACTTGCTGGGTGGGAGTAAAAATAATTTAGAGAAAAATTTTAATGTGATTACGGTCTTTTGATGGATTCATCAAATGAGTGGGTTAATTTTAATTTGTATGAAACAAAACTGCGGCCTGGATTTTTATACAACTTTTTTTTTTTGTGAAAACAACGCTTTATCAAATTCACCAAATTAATAATTATTCTCATGAAAAAAATTTTAAAAGAGTTTTTTTTTTAATTTCCTTTTAACGCTAAAATTTTTTCACACAGCAACTGTTTTTTTACTTGTATTTACTTTTATGACTGTTAAAACGCTCAGCAACTGCAGCCCAATCGTTAAATAAGCGCGCGCTTTTCTTAGTGACATTGATCGAACTATTTCGTAATACAAATCTGGTAACGGTTGGAGCGCTCTTCTCATACAAAGTATATTAATCCGACATTAATGTTCTATGCTTATTCAGTAAAAAAAGGGTGTTTATTCAAAAATCGAATTTAAATACTTCAAAAGATGCTTGCAAATTTAAACACAACTGGATGATTTGATAAAGTAGAGGGCTTTATTCGCTTGATTCTTTTCGGGTTGTTCTAGTTATCAACTGACTATCAGACCCTTTTAGACTCGAAAAGCCATTCAAGTCCTTTCGCTATAAGAAAAGATTAAAGAAATTGTTGTTAAATTGCTTCTGGAATATCTTTCGAATGAAAAGAGTTTTATTATAATATTTGCAAATTTGCGTATTTTAAATTTTATAGGTTACCCATCTACATAAATACTAAAGAATACTGTAAGGTAAACTAGTAAACGGCAGGAGGCCCAGCCTTATAAAACTAACATAAAATGTAACCTCTGTTTATTTGTGCAGAGGGGATTGGTTTCATCCATTTATTTAATTTTGGTTCAATAACTGCGAAAGCAAGCCTTAGTAAGTAAGGTTATGTTAAAACTAATATGGGTGTGCCATACTAGAGATGTTGCGAATGCGGATGCGGATGTCAAGTACTTTAAAGAAATACAAGTAATTTAGGTAAAACGGACATCTCCAAAGAGGTCGAATGCCTATCAGTTATCCTGGATGACAGACTCTCATGGAATCCGCACCTATATGAAACTATTCAAAGGCCAGATCCCCTCTATCTGGACCTGCCAAACACTCATCTATCAACAAACCCATTCCAACTTATACTGTACCCGTCTGGGGAAGAAGGCAGAAGTCAAAACACCAAGGGCTGTATTGTTTACCGCAAAGCTCATCTTAGGGGCAATGGAGGGACTGACAGACGGCCCCCCTTTACCAGCATGGGACAAGGTAATTGTCTCTCAGGTCGAGGTTCACGCCGTTAAACTTTGTCTGAGGCAGTATGTAAAGAGTGGGACAACCAAAACCAACATCACTCGGACAGCAGGGCGGCGCGCCTCGTTCTTAAAGTGCACGAGGTCACCTCAACGCTGGTGTGGGACTGTCTTCAGCTTTAAATACTTATCGCCTCCAGGAATCGAGTATACCTCATATGGGTACCGGGACACAGTGGAGTTATGGGCAATGAAGTGGCAGATATTCTCGCCATAAAAGGGGCTGCAGAGGGATTCATAGGCGCAGGACCCATTACCGGTCTGCCATGGAGCTCCGTTAGGAGAAAGTACTATATCTGGATGAAGAATTAACCGCACCATTACTGGACAAATACGGAAGTCGTGGTGTCTAGGTGACCTGATCCCTTCTCTTGATCTAATCTAGAGGGGGAAAAAAATTGTTCTAGATTCCTATAATTCAATTAGAGATATTTTTAGAATACATTTTTTGATACAATGCTTATTTATTTGCTAAATATAAAACATCTTAACCGATGGTTATTTTCGTACAAATTTTAAGTATTTTATTTATGTGAATGAATCGTAAAACAGTTGAGCCACAACACTTCTTATAAATATTTAACACCAAATCCCTATTAATATGTATTTATGTGTGTAACTTTTTCGCGCTCCTCGCACACACGGGACCTCGCAAAGTTTTCCTTTTTCTTCCTAATACATTTCGAAAGAACTTTCTACAAAATGCCTCCACTCGCCCCTCAAAGGTATGTGAATAAATTATCCACCGAGCTTATGGCATTTTCACGCCAACCCAACGCAATGTAGACCAACTTCTTCAACTCCTTCTGCGGCCAGCCCACCTTCTGCTGGACACGCCTCAAATACTGACTATCTGGATGTTGCTGCACCAGCTTAAAGATTGCTGCAAATTCGTAGCCGAGCGCTACTTGCACAGTCCGTATTAGATACCAATCGGTAGCCAATAAACGCTCGAATAAGTTGCGCAATTGCTGACGCGGCAATACGTCGCGTATGTCCTCCAGTAGCCCACGCAGACCTGGTCGACCTTGAGGCAGCACAGTGTTAATTGACGGAGACTCCTTCAAAGCCGACAACGGAAGTAAATTGCTTTTAAAATCATTATATAAACGCAGATCGCAATTCATTTTGTAGCAAGTAAAACTACGAAAAGCCCTATACTCGCGCGACCTAGTCAAATTTGTGGAGCGCTGACGATATTCGGGCGTCTGGACCAGCTTATAGAAAGCTTGCACTTCCGGATCTTTAGCGGCGGCACGCACGATGTTTCGTATGCGCTCGAGTGGCAACAGCGCCTTGGCCTGCTTGAAGAGATTGTGAATGCCTAGGCCGTTGGGCGCATCGCAGGCCCGGAGATTAGCTAGAGAAAAGAAAGTTGGTTATGATGCTTTCAAATTTCACCCAAAGCTGCAAATTACTTACACTGCGGTTTTAGGGGAAATAGCGGTAATGTTGGATTTGGATATACAATGCCAAACGGATTTCGTTGTATGTTTCCCAAATCAATTGGCTTTTGTTCGGTATCCCCAACGGACTGCCCATTGATTTCTGGCTTTGGCGTAGAAACTTCAACGGAGTCTTGTACTGCTAAGACTACACCAATCAGCAGTAGAGTGCTGACCAACACAAGCTTCATTTTTAATTAGGGATGATTTTCTTTTGCGTGTGGGTGGTAGCGTCGTTTTAACTCTTCTTATTTTGAGAACCGCAAGTGCACTGACTTCATTTCATTTTCGCACGCTTTTTATATGATTCATATTTTTGAGGTCACTGCAGACTTAACAATTGTTGACTTAATTTTAGTCATTTTTTGATCATTAATTATGTATTTGATAAGAATTCTAGGTGATTAAATTTGTATGTAGATGAAGTTAATATTTTTTAAATAAATAAGAAAGGCAACAAGCTGTGCCCTAGTTTTCCTGGTGATATATTTACGGCTTACACAATTTCATGATTTGAAGAAGCTAAGAAGCTAGACAAGGCTAACATGTACTTTACAAAGGTTGAGTGTAACATCAAACATATTTTGCACCATGGAAAAACAACATATTTTTGAGACAAACGAAATCACCTTCACGCCTACTGAAAAATTACTTTTTCTCGCTTACGCCCTTTTAGCGACATTTTTTTTTCCAAAATTCTCTTTTTCATACAGAAATTAATCTACATGCTCTAGCAGGATTTCTGCATCGAAAACAAAATTTGGGGAAAAAAAGTCGCTAATTATTTTCTCGGTTGGAGTTCGACATGCTCCCACATCGTTTTATGCAAAAAAAAAATAAAGTTGTTAATTACTACTTTTTGCGTTTCAGCTGACGATATGTGTGTACATTAGGGCGGTTCGAAAAAAATATAAAATGTTTGATATGAAAATTGTATAGGTCTTAAATGGTGCTATTTTAATGGCTTATTCTAGAAAAGAAATCCTGGTTATCTGCGACATTATCTTCAGTCTGCGGAATGAGCTCGACAAATTTAAAATAAGAGTGGGAATACCAAATTTAATTAAATTATGTAGGTAATAAAGATTAATTGATTAAAATATTGCTGTTACTTACTTTTAATTTGCACAATTTATTTTTTTAGCACCTTTCAAGACCTATATAATTTTCGTATCAAACATTTTGTGTTTTCAACCCGCACTAATATACAAACTAGCAACTCTAGAATATTTCCAGTGCAACGTGTGTGCCACTTATCAGGAATTTTTTTGTTTCTTTTTGCCCATAGCATAGCAAAACAAAAGACAAATTAAGATAGTAATGCAAATTTTATTAAAAAGAAAAGAATACCAAAAGCGAATAGGAAAATTCGCCTTTGTAGTTTTTCCAATGTAAAAAATCGAATTAAAGTTAATGCGCCGCAGAAGCAAAAAAAAAAACTTAACCGCAGCGAATAAATAAATAAAAATAAACTAAGTACAAAGAATACATACATACATATGTATATGTAAATACGTATCTATGTATGTACTTTGTATTAATTTATGTACTCACGAGTATTGGGTAAAGGGACATTTAGTTGTGGTAGGCAATAAAGCAGATCGATAACAAGCACAACAATAGCTCCATGAAAAACGACAAAGGCGATCCATAGAAAAAAAAAAAAAAAAAAAATTTTTTTTAGGTTAAGCCCAGGGCAAATATAGGAATGAACAGTTCTACTCCGGCTCCGATCGGCTGATGGTTTTTATGGGAAGGAGTGGCCGCTTTTAGGAAACCAAAATTTATTGAATATTGCTTGGGCCAGATATCGCACCTGGATCCCACCTGGACAGACAAACCTAACTACATTTGCACTCTCGAGTATATTCGAATGGTCGATTAGTACCCCTTGCCTGAAGCGGAATGAAGCCAATTGGAAAGAAGGAAATCGATAACTTATGTCAGGCCCAAAGAGAATAATCGACGGTTTCGAATGCGGAAATAAAATGCAGAGCCGAATGTTTACACCTATTGCGAGCGTATAGTAATTTTTTAGCCAAATTTTAAGTCAGTTCTTATATGTACATATGTATGTATATAATTTACCCAACAGGCACATAACAAATGCTTTTCCAGCTATGGATAAATTCATTATTCTTCAATGGATAGCTAAAAATATTCGGGAAAATGTTGAGAAACAGCTATTTTCAATACAAAATTCCTGGTATCCGTCACAATAGATGGTAGGAAAACTTTGCAAAAGAGCAAAATAATGGATTTTGTTCAAAAACTTTTCAGCGGTGTCCTAACTGAACTTCTCAAAATAAATTTTCTTCGGTGTTACCTCATGTGTGCTTTGTCAAGTGGAAAAGTTGCTTAAAATGGAGCCAAACCTTAATTCCCAACTTAGCGTCAAGCAAGTGTCAAACTTAAACGCTTATTGGGACGCGAGTCAGAACTCTGCTAGCTTGGGCTAAAATGCAAATTTCCTTTGCTGTCTAGGCGCTAACTGCCTGTATAACGTATCGAAATGCGGCCACCCACACTCGAACCACAATTTTGGTGGTTGGCATGGCATGGCGTAATTAAATGACGCCACACCTGCTGCCGCCAGCACCAGGGTTGCCACTGAAAAACTTTCTTTCCTAACAAAAAGCTGGTTCAAAAACCTACCAAAATGGCTTCTTTTCTACCATTTCTTTTAATCAAGAAAACGGGCATTCGACAGCATTAAATATACTTATTTTTGCTGGTTTTTATACATAAAATAAGATTTCCAGGTAAACAAAAAGTTCAGAATAATAGCTATTATATACATACATATAGCAAAAAAAAAAAAAAATGGTGTGTGATTTTAACCAGATCCACCTACCGACATTTATTTCGACCCGCTGAATCCGAATCTGAGGTCCGTTTGACTTCTATACCGCCAAAATTTTTAAAACTTGAAAAAAGTTCAAAAAATGCGATTAATTTTTTGGTTTTAATGAAGCCTTCGGCGTAAATGTGAAAAATCGTAGCCGAAAATAAAATTCCGTCGTAGATTGTTTTTATAAATCGCTCTTATGCATAGCTTAGGCTTGCCAAATGTTCGGGTCTAGGAGCCTCCGGGCTTGGGGCAAAAAATGCGCGCGCTGCCGGTTTGCGGTTAAAAACTTTGAGATTATTCGATTTACTGGAAATATGACTAACAATAAGCGGTTTTCTTTTTAATTTTCGTGTATGATAAAAATTAACAGATTCAATTTGGTAAGCGTACTCACCGTACTGACAAAGTGATGTTTTCTGTTTTATGAGCAAAGAAACCTGCCAAAATTTTAAGCGTCTTACCATCCTACCAACGAGAAATAAAAACCTAGCAATTTTGGTAGAAAAAGCCCAAAACGACAACTCTGGCCCAGCACTAGCAACAGTTGCTGGGTTTACTTCTTTGTTTTTAATTAAGGTGATTTTTCTGTTGCTATTTTTTTTATAGTTGCGCAGGGCTGCGGGCTACACGTGCTTGACAACGCAAAAACCTGCAGACGCCAGCAAATAGAAGTGGTCGAAGTAAAACAAAAAAGTATAAGTGTTTATTTGTGCATGAATGAATTGCCTGTATACATATCTGTATAATTAGATTGTTCCAAGAAAATATGGATACACATTTTTTTTTTGCAAATTTTGATGTGCATACCCTCCACATATATTTGTGCATTTTAGCTTAAATAACATATATGTATAGGAAGTTTTATGGGCTCAGGATAACGATTACCCATGCCAATTTTTAGTTGAAGTTTTAGGTAATAACTTGAATTAAGGCTACCAAATCGTCCATTAAAACTTTGAAAATGCCCAAAATACTGATATTTTTTCTATATTTGAACGCATTTCTAGTAAATGTGCAAATTTAAATTTTTAATAGGATGGCAGGATTTCGTGAAGGAGAATATTTTCAAAAGACATTTTTGACATGTTCCAAAGGGATTATTGAAAAAAAAAAAGTTATACTTAATCTTGCTTCTCCTTCTTCTTCTTTCAATTGATACTCATATATCGATATTTTAAGAAAACTTTTGGAAATCTATCTATATCTATACGTAGTATAAAGGAAAGTCGAGATGCTTTGTACGCGGTAATCTCGAAAACTACTGAACGGATTTTGACGAGATTTCTTTAAGTATAATCTGTATCGATAGAAATATTATCCGTAGTACTTTAAATTCCTATAGGGTTGCAACCTGTCTAAAAAATTATTAGATCCGCACTGTTCGTTGGATTACAAGAAATGAGGTGTCAAATAAAAGGGTTCGGCTTTTAGATGTTCAATAATGTATTACTTTTTGAGAAGGGTTGCCACATTTTAAAAATTATAAGATTTTCACCGTATGTTGGACTAAAAACTGAGGTACCAAGTGAAAGGAACCTTACTGCATGTGCAATAAGCTTTTATTTTTTATTTGAGTGGGATTGCCACCTATTTAGAAAATTATTTACACGCGAGGGCATATTTTGTTAATGTGCGCAGTTCATTCAATTAAAAAGAATGAGGTGTCAACGGAAAAGGCTTGACCTTCCGATTTGCAGTAAGGTTTTATTTTTCGAAGAGGTGCAAACTGTGCGAAAAATTAGAAAATGTAGGCTGTTCGTTAGATGGCAAGAAATCAGGTGCCAAATTAAAGGGCCCCACTACTGTAGGCAGTATAGTAATACCGTCTTATACACAACTAAAATGTATAAATTAACAAAACAGGCGAACTGCACAAAGCTTATTCTGATCACTTTTACAACAAGTCGACACGGGTGCCGTGGTCCGAATTGCATACAATTTTATTCGGATAGGTTTTAAGGCAAAACCAATCAAATAAGGGGCTATGCGTTAAAAAAAAAACAACAACTTTAGTTTTTTTGGGACACTCTAAAAGCATAGACAAACGGCAGCGTTGATCCGCTTTAACGGCGCAGTTCATCTGATTGTGCCTTGACGGACGGCAGTAATGCAGATTAACGACGGCCAGTAGCATTTTCATTTATTTCACTTGTATGACTTTTTTAATAAAATAAAAATAAAAAATGTGATATAAAATAAATGAAAATAAAGTAAAATTAAATTTGTAAATCAAATAAAAAAATAAAATAAATAATAAAAACAAAAAATCGCTCACCACCCAGCTACCGCGGACGCCAAACTCGCTTGCTTTGCTTGCTTACTTGTACAAAAGACAACAGCTGGCCGTTTTTATCAGTGTTGTCATCTAAAATTCCCCTGATCCGATTTAATTGCCAAATTTTTCGTG